GCGGTGGCGGCGGCGGCGGCGGCTGCTGTGGTGGCCGGTGTTGCACTCCGTCCTCACTAGTCCGTCGGGCTAGTTGTTGAGCTTGAATAAATGCATCACTAGAAAATAACAAGATTACACGAGCCCATTGGATCTATTCCACGACCACTAATGCTGCAAACACACGCCGCGGTACGCGCTGGTTACACCTTTCGATAAGCTCCTAATCGTCAATTCTCCTTCCCCATCCTTACACTTACCTTTCGTTTTTTTTTTTTATTCTTTATACACGCTTTTTTACGTGAATCTATAGGGTGGACTACGTGACATGTCCATTTCAATTATTTTCGATATTAATAAAATCGAAAACTTTTTTTTATTACAGATTACAATTTCAAAAAGTGTATAATCCAATGTATTTATAATTCTATTTTTTATTTAAATTGTTCTTTTTTTTTTAAATTGTTAAGATTATTTTCAATATTATTTTTATTCGAATTTTATAATTTTTTTATGTTTTTTTTTGAAAATTATTAAAATTATTTTTAACTTATTTGTATTAGAATTTGTCTTGATAAATATTTTTTTCAAAAAACAAATAAAAAACTTTAAGAAGAGAAAATCATAAGTATAAGTAGAAAAAAAAAATTCAAAAAAAACTATTTTGAGATCTTTTGAAAATCGTATTCTTTATGACAAAATAAAATTTTAAATAATAACGAAAATAATATTAGATTATGTCCAGGTAACCAACCCTATATATGGAACCGAGCAATCTATGCACGCGTTTTTATCAATTAAAATTAACCATCAAATACATATTATTTTTGAGAAAGAATAACGCGTGCATATAAGCACCCATGTGTTACGTATATAAAAAGCTTTTTAACCATTGCGCACGTGCGAAGCCTTGCAATTGCGGCCTACGAACGATATTGAAAGTACAACATATGTATATTACAATTTTGTTCTTTTATCGTACGATTAAAGCGATGATTAATAAGAAAAAAATTCAGATAAGGATAAGTGCGGAATTCTAGCACTTTTTAAATTACGTTTCAAGTATAATATATATATATATTTATTTTGTTTAAAAATTCATACCGAAAAAAGAAAAGAATTGTTTGTTTGCATTTGAGATCGAGAAGTTTCAGACATCGCGTAATTCGCAAGTTTCCACTATTGCTTTTGCCATGGATATATGCTATAAATGCTTACAAAGTTTCTGGCCATTCTGAGCTTAGAAAGAGAAGTAACATCGCGTCTTGTAGATGGCAGCACATTCATAGCGCATTGCACAAGCAACTAAAACAGTAAAATTAGCATGCGAAAGTTGGTGTGTAGAATTTTGTCAGAACGTTTCCTCTTTTCTTCTGTCTTCTGTGGAAACTCGAAGCAATGACGCTGTACGATTTTTATAAAATTGACAAAATCGATAAAATTATAACATCGATTCATAATTCTGCAATTTAACGAATTTTTTCAATTTTGACTGTTTGGCAATTTGATTTTTTGAAACTCTATTTTATCACTGGAAGAAAAAATTTGGAAGAACTTGAAAAAGTACCATATTCAATATAAAATAAATTTACAAATTTCTAGCGCAAATTAATTATTCGTTTTATTCATTTTCAAAGTAATTTAATCCTTAAAATAATTTCTTCCATTATTTTTGATAAATGGTTTAAAAAATGGTTTGATTAAAAAAAATGATCTCGTACTAATCCAGAAGAAAATACATCGAAAGATTTATTTTCAATAAATTTCTATTTTACTTCACCAATTATAATAATCTTTTTTAAATAATAAAATAAAAATTTGTTTCAAATCACAAAGGCAAATAGTCAAAATTGATGTTTACGATCGATGATGTTATTCGAAGATTCGGTTAAAAACGGACTTGCAAAATCTTGTTAGATGTGAAAGACCGATTATGCCGAGTCTATTTATATTCCGTTTCGACTTTCAGAAATATATTTCGACATTTGGGATAATATGGATGGATGGATATTTTGAAACGATTTCAGTCGATTAAATAAACCCATCGAGTATACCCATCGAGTAATTTGCTCCTAAAGCGTACTATCGCTTGGGCATGCACCAATCCTTATCTGAATGCGCGTTCATTATAGTGATGGGAATTATACAATCACTATATCTATATTACATGTATACGGGAATATGCTCTATTTATATATATATATATATAATAAATATGTATTATACTCGGAAGATCCTTGGAAATTTCGATTCCCAACACTAATCGCGGAACGCGATATTGCAGTGTTTTTCAACCTTTTCCGAGTTACGATCCCCTTTTACGATGTACAAATAACCCTCCCTTTAATTAAGGATAAAAAAAAAATTTTAAACGATCGAGTGAATTTTAAACGTACGTTCTTATTCTTAAATAATATGAAATATCGATAAAAATTAAATAAATTAAATACGTAATGACGTTACAGCGGTGCTTGGAAAACAATTGACTGAAGGGGATCGCGACCCATACGGGTTGGGAACCACTGGCGTAGAGGGAACTCTCTCGTAGGATTGCGAGGGATATTTGCACAGTAGTCTTCGTACCGAACGTCAATCTACCAAGCCCGTCGTTTCGTATTGAAAGAATCTGCGATACCTTTCACTATCGGGCGTTTCACCCCTAGTATTTGAGCCTCTGTCAGGGTCGGCAGTTGCATAGATACCCTCCTCCTTGTACATTTGATGGGAGTGTTGAGTGTGCTGATGGGTCCCGTAAGGACTTCGAGACGATGGTTGACAATATCTACCGTAGGTATCGTCACGGCCGCGGCTACATCTTCTGCTTCTACGTAGGAAATCGAATCAGTTCCTTAAGAAGTGTTAAATATTTCTTTTCTTTTCTTTCTTTCTTTCTTTCTTTCTTTGTTTCTTTCTTTCTCTCTTTTTTTGTATCGTGTTTCTTTTTTTCCCTGTTTCCATCCGCGTAGATTAGATTTTCGTGCAACGAACGAAAACGAATCGAGAAACGAATATCCCAAATAATGTAGTAGCAAGTCTCGAGATGGACACGGTATAAACAGACTCTGCATGTGAAACTTATGGAAGATGCAAGTCAATT